AAGTTCCATTTTTCAAGCGAAAGTTTGATGATCATCTAAATTTTTTTTTTGTATCATCGACACTTATAAATTTACAGATGATCATGTATTGTGTTATATTATATTTCTGAAAAATTTAAGGGGTAGTTATATAATAATTTTGAACAATCTCAGGCAGTCAGATACTTATGACCGCTACTGTAAGTGAGATCCAGATTCTTAAGAATCTAATAGAGTCTTGAGAACGCGTAGCAGTAATCATATATGTAGAGTCATTAAAGTTTGTTTGAATATTCTGGGCTGTGTTAGTGTTGATCAGAAGATCTGATTTTGTCCAGTTCACTTGTATACTATTCAAGTCATAAAAACTATTGGTGATATCTATAATTCTATTGAGCTGTTATTTCGAATCTGCGATCTATAGTGTAACATCCATGTATGCTAATACTGATATTTTGCATAATTATTTGTTGAGGATGTTTAAGCGAACGTTAGGTTTCCATACTGCTGACATGGTATAGCCAAGATCAGAATTTTGCACTCTGCATAATAGGGAATTGTAGTAAATACATCACAGGAGAGGTGAAATGATTTCATCTTGATCAATTTCTGAGTAAACCTTGTAAATATTTGTGAGTCCAAAAGAAGTGAAAACTTGGTTTTTCCTTTGTATAAACATGTTTAGGATGAAGAATATAAAAGATTTAGAAAGCTTTAAGCATTCGAGAGCTTTGACCATCATGAAAATATTAATGCAGTCGTAAGCCTTTGACATGTCTTGTAGAAGAACCCACAGTTCTTTTTTGTTAAAGAGGGCGTCATTTTTAATGTTATCTAAGATGTGCAAAGGTTCAAAGGTAGAGCGAAAGGGGAGTCTTACAAAGTTATGTCCTTTGAGAATATTATATTGGATGAAGACTGTTGATAATTGCGTATTAATGAGTTTTATAAGAGCTTTTCTTGAACACTCTAATAGGGTGATCGGCCTAGTATTATTTAGGTCAAATTCCCAAGGTTTGGGTTTTAGAATTGAGTAAACATACGCTAAGTTCTAGCAATGAGAAATTGTAGAAATCGACAAGCAACCACAAATTAAATACCAAAAGATCTTTTTAGCTAAGGGACCTAGATTTTTAAGCATTTCATTTGATATTTTGGATGGCCCAGATGCTCTTCCGTCAGTAAGAGAATTAACAATAGAATACCATTCTTCTGCTAAGGGTGGTGACATCAAGCTATTATATATATTAGAGTCAATATTTTCAAGTGGACTGTACGAAGAGAGCCATTTATCAGGAATGTTTTTCAATTCATGTATAGTACCTGCTGCTCTTTGAAAATGATTGTTGACTGTTTGTTTAACTAAGTAATCATCTGTGATGAGATCTTGAGCATTCTATGATAAACATCTGTCTAATATGATTGTTTTCCTTGTACGGTTGAGTACTGAATTAAGCATTCTTTTTGGATTATTAGCTTACGTATCTAATCGCTATTCTAAATTTTTCTGTATAGAGGCGAGTTTGTATTCATTTTCATAAATTTTGGTCTTGCATAGAAGGACTTTGAGTAAAAGAATAGTGTCCGATAAGAGGAGGTCAACAAAATTAAATGGGTAATCTAGGTGTGGATGTGCTGTAATAAATGCAAGTGAGTTAGCAATATTGCGATATTTGTCATACATTTGTATCTAATTAACAGGAAAAGAAATGCCTCTTTTGACTTTGAGGAGTAGCTTTTTGAACTTGTGTAAGGTTTTTTGGTGTGAGTATAGACTTTTGAAGTCAGGTGGTCTTGGATATTTGAATTGTCCAGAAGACTTTCTGATTGGTATACATTTCTCAGCTGCATTAATTAAAAGATCTTTGAAGAGGTCCCAGTGTTTGTTTAACAAGAAATGCGTCCAGTATGTTTCTTGATTGATCAATTTCAATTGGCTACCATTTAGTAACGTGTCGAGTTTGGTTTTGTTCATATTATCAAAATTGAAGCTAATTTTTTTTGGAATATTGCGCTTGTGAAATTTAATGTCTAGAAAATTCGTGATTGTAGCAATGACTATGTGGTGATCTGATATGTTCATGTCAAGTGCAATTATATAACAATCTAACAAATTGAGGGAGATGTCAGTAGATGTCCAGATGTAATCGATCCTGAAAGAGGCTTGACTCGAAAAATAAGTAGAATAATGAGTTCTATTTTGATCATGTTTGATTATAAAGGTATCAAACAGTGACAGTCTATGAAAGTTATCAAAGAGTTTTAGGCTGTTAATAGGATTATGTATTCGATCTATGTCAGTATTAAAGTCTTCCAGAATGATCAAGTGAAAGTCATTGACAGTAGCTTCATTAATCCAATTGTTGAGGACCAGTTGGACTTCTTTTCTTATTTTTAGGTCAGCTGGTGATAAGTAGCAATTGATAATACATAGTCTTTGTTTATTTGCAAATTATAAGTCAATACAAATCACTCAGTTAAGCTTAGTTTCATACTTGTAAACATGATGAGCAATCTTTCTATTGAGTATTATTCTAACACCGAAAGCGGTGCGTTGTTTAGGTGTTGAACTAAAAAAAGATATGAAGAAAGGATGAGATGATTTAAAGATCTTTTCATGTTAGGGTTGAAGTTGATTTCTTGAAGACCAATAACATCTAAGTTGTATGAAGAGTATAATGATAAAAGATAATGTTGTTTGGTGACGTTAGTAAATGATCGGACGTTATGAGTTGCAAAAGAGAGTTTGGGTACATTAATGGGGTTGTATTGGAAGTATTATTAGGTGTGAGGAATATATTGTTAGTATCTGTAGGGACAGTAATCATAAAATCATATTATTAAAATTGGGGAAGGCTCTTTAGAGCCTTTTCAGCTTCAATATCATAATTGGTGTTGAGAGTATACATTGTTGATATTTTGTCAATTTGAAGGAAGTCATTGTGGATGAGAACAGCACGAAATGTGTTACACATAGTGACTAAGGTATTGATTGTTTCAGTAAAATTTTTTAGGCATAAATTTTGGGCTTCTGTAATTTCTGTGAGTGCTGAGATGGTTTGTTTTTGTTTGTTAATGATTGAGGTGGAGGCATCAATAACAGGATCATTTCCATACTGTTTCAATCATAATCTGCCATGGTTTCTTTATTAGAAAAGCTGACTTTGATATTGAGAGTTTGCTCAATTACTTCCATTCATTTCATAGTGAAGTTCAAAGTAAGCGTGAGATTATCAAGTTTCTGTGTGAGTAGCAAGAAACTAGTTTTGATGAAGTCTTTGAAATCTTGATCACCGTTTTGTTCATGCATAGAGCCTCCTGCAGTTGTTTTTGTAGAAATGTCACGTGAACTATATTGCTGTTGATCAGAATACTTGGATTGTTGTTTCATATTTGGAGGGATATCATCGCTCCAATCTGATGTTAAACCAAGGGGTTGTTTTGGTAAGGTATTATTGTTGTTTTTTGATGCAAAAGGTGGCTTTGCAGGTACACTGGTCATTTTGGTTTATTTTTGAGAACCATCTGTAATAACGTTAGCAAAGGTAATATTAGGGCTAATAGCTTCTTTACAAGGATGAATAGGAGCTTTATAGTTGTTGTATTATGCTAGTTGAAAATGTTGATATAGATGTTGGGTGTTTTTATCTTATGGATTGCGATGTTTTTTTGGACAATCTTTAATTTTATGATGTGAAGAGGAGCATATGGCACATAATTTGACTTTAGTTTCTGTCCATTTTACACATTTGCCATTGATCATGAGATTATCATTACTGATTGCTACTTCGTAGTTATCAGCTAAAGGAAAATAAAAGAAAGCATGTTGGAGGTTGTGATAATTGGATCGTGCCTTAGGAATAATCTAAGCTGTTGCATTAATCATTAGGCCTAGATCAGATAAATCTTTACTCGTGGTAAGTGAGGAAGACATGTAAGCTTGGCTGAGAATTTAGATCTTTTCAAGATTTTATTACGTAGCAGGTCGCACATGTGGAAATGAACTATATCATTGAGGATGAAAATCCTGTAACCTTTCTTGAGTTCAACGAAGTTAGCTTCTGAGTCATATGTGATTGTAGCTTGTTGCTAGAGATTTTTTGTTTTCATGTTAAATTTGATGATCTTGTCAAATCGAAAAAAAATTTTTTTGTGTAATTCAGTGGTGTTCAATGGTATCTCAGTAACTTTGATCGATTATTGTAAAACAAAAGAATGTTTAGGTACGATTTCTAAAGGTAAAAATGTGTGATTTTTCAAATTAGGCAAGATGACTTTACAGAACATGTTTCTTTCATTTTTATCAGAGAATGTCGCTTTTAAAATCTTTTTTAATTGGTCCTCTGGATGTTTAGCAAACACAACACCCAAAAAAGAGTCAAACTGATCAAAAACAAGGTCAGTGACATCAGAGATTTTAGCTTGAGGGGATTTTTCAGTGTCATCATTCGCTGGAAAGAAAGTGAAAAAATTTGTTTTTTTGGTGAAAATTTCTTAGGGGCTTTTTTGTTATTCAAAAAATTTTCTAAGGCGTCGTTAGCATCGTCGATGTTCATAAGTATATGTTCAGAAGTGATAACAAAAGTTGTTTCACCTATTAGGACTTCTTTGCCCTTTCCTTTATCGAGTGAAAGAGAGTCAACTTCCATGGTGACTGGAGTTTCTTTGTTATTGTTGTTGGTGGAAACACTACTTTCAGGTTCAGTAGTTTGTAAGGTGTTCTGTCTTTTGTTTAATTGTTGCTCTGGAGTGTCAGGGCGAGAGCGAAGTTGTTGTTTTTGTTGGTTTTTATTGTTCTTTTTCTTTGGTTTGCCCATGTTGCGAAAAAAGTCTTTTTTTTATTTTATCGTTTAAAAAACTTTTTTTTTTTAAGTGCAGTAGTTTTGCATGATCTTTATTAAATTCAAAGTACAAATAACAAAGTCAAAATATACAAATTTAAGAAAATACAAAAATCTCTATTTAACTAAACTAAATTAAGATCGATTCTGCACTTTCTCAAAATCTATTCCCAACCTAAGCTAAAAATATCATATTCCAATAACTAACTGAATGAGAAAGGGCTTGGCCACTACAATACCAAAAATCCAACCAGTGGGATCTGTATCAAATCATTTTATTGACAGATTCATTAATGTAAGTAGGAGAAGTAGCACTTGTAATCTGATATCCTGTTGCAGCAGTATTTTCTTTCTTTTTCTTTAAGTTGATGTTATGTAATTTTTCGAATGCAACTTGATGGGAACACTGTTCAACCCATAATGCCTGTGTTTGTTTAAATAGGTAGTGTATAAAGGTTGAAAGCATCGCATATGTAAGGTTTTTTGATCCTATAACGTTATAGATAAATGTGTACAGCATCTAAGGAATCATTCCTTTTATGAGTACAGGTAAATAAGGAAAGCATTCAATAGATATATGCCATATGTATAGATTGGAGATGTTCATAGTTGAGCCACTGTTTTAGATTAACTCTTGTAGGACTTATTGTGAGTTATGTATGATGATTTTCATTTGGGTCCAGGTAACCAGACATTCCCAAATGTGAGAGAAGGTTTCATTAGCGTAAACACATTTAACACAAAGCCATGATTGATCAAAGATGTCAGGGTGTCTTTCTTTTAGAATTTCTATAGTGAGAAGCATTTCTAAGAGTCTTTGGACTTTTTTCTTTCAGACTGCTGAAGCTTCATATGACGTATGTGTCGCAGCAACATTATCATTGATGTAAAAACATGTGGTAGATCAGTTAATGTTCAGATGTTAGTACTTACTGATTACGTGAAGGTGCCTTATCTTGTCATACATTAAAGATTGTATGATATTCTTCATAAAAAGGCGAATAGGTATCGAGATTTCAAGATCTTCATACTTATAGTAGTAATGATCACTATGAGAGAAGTCAAATCTAAGCGCTGTTGTCTTATGAGAGTTCTTTGCAAGATGATCAACTTTATCATTTAGCGTATCTTCTAAATGAGCTTTAACTTTATAAAAGCGTATATTGAGATATTGTAATCTGATAACTTTGAATAGGCTTAGCCATATCGAAAAGTTATTAATCTTGAATAATGGTCTGGTTGAAGGAGAGAAGCACAAAATTCTTTTGAAATTGTAAAATTGTCTAATCACGACTTGTGAATCTGTCTTGATAGTAATATAACTATTTCTTGAAGCAACGATGATGGCAGTAAAGATTGCTACTAGTTCCGCTATTGATGATAAGGAAAATGTAGTAACTAATGCAAATGAAAAGGAGGTCATAGGTGAACACAGATTCATTTGCAGCTAAGCCATACCCATTCTCATTGAAGGAGTGCCTAAACCTGTGAGGGAACCGTTTGTATAGAATTCTAATTGTGTAGTAGCAGAAAATTTTTTTGAAAGAGTTAGTAGTTCATGAAGTGGCATAATGAACTTTGATATTAAAGAGGAAGGTGCAGGATGGCAAAATTCAATTAGGGGTAGGTTTGAGAGGCTATTATGAGACTGATTAAATTTGTAGAGTGCAATATCCTTCATGAGTATTAGAGACCAAGTGTTGACATGTTGTTTCCACGTATTTTTGATTGCTATTTTTACACAGAGGTTGAGGGGTGCAGTCACTATGCATTTATGATTGTTAAGCCAAGAGAAATTGCTTTTAAATAGTTTAGGTCTATAGAGTGGACAACCATTACACTGACGTAAAATTGTATCAGTAGCATGAGTGTACGTGTAATGATTAAGGTTAGTAAAACTTCCTGTTATCTTTAAAACACGACCTACTATCATCGTGAGTATTGCAGTCCCAATATGTAATAAATGATCAGACCATTATGTTATTTTGTAGTGGTATCATTGGAAATCCGTAAGTAGGATTTTGTCTATAGGTTGCCAGTTCGGGCAACAAGTTGAGCTTATCAACATTAAGTATTTGTTTAATTTTGAGGTACCATTTTGGAAGTGATCCTTTCTTGGAAATCGATGATAAATAACTAAGATCATAGGTAGTATACAATGCTTTTCCATCTCGGCTCAGTAACTGTTCTACAAACATTAGGGAGTATTTGGATAAGGATGAAGCTAATTTCCTGTAGTCTT